ACTAGCCCTCAGAAGAAGAAATGGATCATGCTTGGCGTTTATTTCTCCGCTTTGTTGATGGCAATCTCATTTTTGTACGAAGGACAAATGACATTTGATCCTGCAGCGGATGTCACTAACATGACATGGTTGGTTTCCCTACTTACCAATTTTTTTCGAATTTTGCCGATTTTAAATTCCATTGTCATTACTGTACTTGTGACGGTCATAGCAGTCTGATTTATTACTTTGTAGGACCCACTATGATCGCTACTGCTCTCTAAATTCAGCAAACACTATAGAGAATCAGATCACCTGTAGCCAGCTGAAAGGTCTGCCGCATTTAAATTGTTCTGAGGTCTTTTCCAGTAGTTCTATTTTAGGAACTGCTGTGAATTGGAAAGGAACCGTCCAAGCAGTGCGAATTGTGAACATAGACAACTCATTCGAGACCTTGCTTGGTTACTTACCGGAATCAATTGGTCAGACACTGCGATGTTTTTATGACAGTAACCGAACGACTGACGACGTTGCGTATGCTGAGGGTATGAGGTCTGTAGATATATGACGGTCTATTTATGTCGACAAGAGAATGGAAATCTTTGCAGAGCCAATGAATGCTCATTGACTGAGCACAACGTTTATACTTTCGATGTAGAAGTATCTGGACCGTACGGAGAGCGAATAGTGAGTAGCGCAAAGGGTCAACTAATACTGAGTGCCGGACATATTTTTGCCGAAATGCTGAGACTAGTGGATGAAGGTATCTTGTACATAGAGTCTTATATCTGACGGCGGCGGTGAGAACAACATTTGCGCGTGAAAGCAGTAGATTTGCCTAAGAATGTGTCAAATTTTTGTGCGCGCGTAAAATATGGCATGTTGCAACACATTGTCATTGATCCGCGCAGATGTTGTGGGCAACGCTACATTATAATTATCTTGTTCTTTGTCAGGAGATGTTGTGCGATTTGTCGCTTTCTTCGATCAGTACCCAATATTCCGCTACCCACCTCGACTGAAGCTTTTGCAGTTGGAATGTGCAAATTGTAAACAGGTAATAATAAGTTAGATTTTCTTTTTTTGCTTTTTCAATGACATCCTATCTTAGTTCCAAAAAGGAAGAAATTCACATCTGCGTATCACAAACTCCAAGATAAGCCGTACTGGATTATGGCACCGAGTGTTTGAAGCATTCAAGTTCTGCTTCAATTTTATGTTCGCACCAGTTGTTAGAGTGAAGTAGGCAACCTTTTTGACACAAGATTGTTACCTTGGCATTCAAGTCATTTTTATCTAGTCACCAATTCACCTATTATTTTTATGAGCATAATTGATTGTACATATTCATATATACTCACTTCTAAAGCAGCACTCACCCTAGCTTTTGTTTACATTGAAATATTTTGGAATAGTGATTTTAGCTTCAGCTAACTCGCAGCTTTATCCCCGTGTTCACTCAACGTTTGTAATCAGGTGTGTCCTTGCTTTAGCTTGATTATGTTGACCATTTGCCTTAATATGATGAGTAAATGATGTGCTTTTGTTTGGGAAAGCCTGCTTTGAAAGGAAAATTATTGATCCATGAAATCCGTGACAGAAAATACGAGAAAATATGCTTGACAAAACTGGGCAACTTTTTAGAACGTAAAATAGAAAAAAAACAGCACTTGCTCAGCAAATCGCGACGAGCAACTTGAAGCTCCGCCCTTTCCTACGCCATAATATCTCGTCAGGACCTTTATCATCCAATACCTGCTTCTAATTTTGGCGCGAAATCTGAAG